AAGTCAATGGGAAAGCCGGATTCATTTAACAACTATGTTACTAATTTAACAACTGCAGTGATTCACTTAACAACTGTGGCAAGAAAAGTCATAAAATGGGCAAAATCCACTTAACAACTGTCTTACTTATCAACAGAAATTTTGGGCTCAATTATGGTGGTAAGTTGAGGACTAACTGTATTTCCTTTTTTTTTAAAAAAAGAGGGTTTTATGAAGAATATTATTAAACATATATATATATATATATGGTTTAATAAATAATTTACATGATTAAATATTATTGTAGGAATGCATACTCTAGGAATTTTAATTTTTAAAATTGTAGATATTGTAAATATAATCCATAAAAACAAAAACCCTTTTGTGATCCTCCATAATTTCTAAAAGGAAGAAGGGTCCTGAGAGCAAAATGTTTAAGAAACACAGATCCCAAACATTGTTAGATCCATGACAATGTGGAGAAGATAAATGGCACCTAGATTGCCAAAATACTTATTGCTGTCTTGAAATGCTAACAAACCAATGGAATAAACTGTGATGCTATTACATTGGAGGGTAAGTGTCTTCTCTAAAAAAAACTGGAAAATTCCATTGAAGGATATTTTCACTCAGCTTTTAAATTACTTCAGTAAAGTGCAAATATGGTGTGAAAATGTGAAATTAAGATAGATGTGAGAATTCATTAGTTGCTACTGAAATTCCGGATTTCACTCCAGTTGGACAATGATACTATCATAAAGATTAATCTGTGGCAGAGACAGGAGGAACTGCAACAAACTGGATTCATGCCAAAAGGATTACATGTATAATACAACATCGTCACTACACCATGATGCATATTTTTTACCCTGGCGTCTGAGATAAATATTAAGTTGCAGCATTTGTGAAGTGATATCATTGCTACCCCTTCCCCTCTGCAGACACCTGTGGCTCAGTCAGCTGCCAGGGACAAAGATTTGGGAGGGGGAATAGTTCATTACATTGTGATGACTCTCTGATGCACATTTCTGTACTTGTATCAGGATGTGACACACAAATATGCAAGGGGTGGAGTTGTATTGTGATGTATGCGATAATGCATGTTTTATCATTTTACTGTAGTTGCCCACAGATTTTTGGTCAGGGGACACCATTAACACTTTGAACCAAAAGCTGCAGAGACAAGGCAATGATGTAAAAAAAAAAAGGATGGAGCCCTGTACAGCAGGGGTGTCACATTCGTGTCATCATGGCAGCATCATGTGACATATCGGGATTTTTTTTGCTAAACTGAGCATGGGCGTGGCCAGCACGTGTCACATCTAGTCGCGAGTTTGACAGCCCTGCTATACAGTATACATCAGTGGCTCCACAGTTTTCTTTTTCCCCTGGCCTTTGATAGTGCACTATCACCAGCTGTTCTTTTATTTCCAGTACGCACATGTGTGCCAGCCAGCTGATCTTCATCGGTGCCGGACAGTGGTGGGATTCAAATAATTTAACAACCGGTCCTCTGCCCTAATGACCAGCTGGGTAGGTGTGGCTTGGTGGTCTTGTGACGGGGTGGGTGTGGCCAACTCAATGTCAC